ACACACACACACACAAAGAGAGAGAGAGAGAGAGAGAGAGAGAGAGAGAGTCACCACCTCCCCCACCACCCCCCACCCCCCAAATCACCCCCAACAACCCAACTTTTTGTTTATGCGCAACACCCCCCACGACATCCCCTGCCTATGCGCAACCCCATGGCGCGCGCGCTGATGTTTTGACGCGAGCACATGCCTTAAAACGCTTTGAGCGAGTTTGAGCGCGACGCAGGGATCTTTAAGCGCGCGCTTAAACGCGCTCCTATGGTTTCATAGGGGGTGGATGCTTGTAGTGACGAGGAATGTCATTGTTCCTCGCATTGCAGTCGCGTCTTTTCTTTACTGGTTTCACCATACCTTCTTTTTCGCCATGTTTTCTGCGATTGCGGGGCTTGGGGTGGGGGAGTGGAGGCGGTGTGGTGGTGGTGAGGGCGGTGCGCAAGTCTGCCACGTCAGGTGGGGGAGTTAGGCGGGCGGGACCCCAGTGCGGTGTTTATGTTCACGTGCTAATCCATGTCTGCACGAGCTTTAAAAAATTTGGTTGCTTTGCACGAGCGCTTCTCGAAGCGCTGAATCGATTTCTCAAACACAAGAATGTGTTTTTCTTTTGGACTTGTGTGTGAGGTCCTCTTCTTGCATCTGGTTGTGCACTTCTCAACAACGGGTTTGTTTTATTGTCTCGTGTATGGGATTTCTGTCATGTATCTCGTCTGCGTTTGTTTGCATTTTCAAATGTAGATCGTCGTTGCGTTCTTGTCCCACACACGACTTGCATGCCACAAAAAAAGAAACAAGTCAATCTCGTGACATTTCCATCCTTTCAGCAACAACATCGCATCGCACTTTTTGTTATGTTTTTTTTTTTTTTTTTTTCTGTCAATTTTTTATTCTCATTTATTCTTTTTGGGGTTGTGTTTTGTCAGGTGGAGGCCATGTTAATGTATCCGCGATTTGAGACACTGCATGATGGACACCATACGTCATAATATGTGCACGACATTGAGATGGGCACTCACCCGTAGTCGCCATGAGAATCCCGCACAGAAGAAAAGAAAAGCACTGGTACGTGAGCGACCATTTGCACACAAATCGAAGTTCTCAACACACACATTCCTTACTGCAATCCATAGATTCACATTGCATACTCGAAGAGGTAAACCCGAGTTTTTCATTCCACCCAACCTTTCACGGCACACAACTCTTTCTCTCTCTCTCTCTCTCTCTCTCTCTCTCTCTCTCTCTCTCTCTCTCTCTCTCTCTCTCTCTCTCTCTCTCTCTCTCTCTCTGTGTACATGTCCGAACTTGACAACAAATATAAAAAAAGTAAACTAAACAAGACTACTGTGTCATGCAGTGTCTACGTGGCGACTCCATTCGCGGGGTCACTATCAGTCGAAGCATCTGCCGTACCGCGTGCATGGCTTGCCCCGCCTAACCGCCAACGTCGCCCCCCTCCGCCACGCGCACCCTTCCGCAGCACCAACGCCGAATGCCCCCCCACCTCTAGCGTCCCCCGCCCCCTCCTCGTTTGGAGATCGAAGAGCCTCCCCATGCAGGACGACCACCCCGACCGGTTGACCTTCCAAGACGAACCCGCGTGTCACTTGTCGTCACCGCCATCTTCATCCGCTGGAGGACCGTTGTCGATTCAGTCGTGTTTTGCAGCTTCAGCTGCATTCTTCAAGGAGGCGTTGTGATCGCACACCAACCCGCAATCAACCTATTCCGGGATGCAATGCGGGTACTCTCCAAGCGTGAGGTGGGGCTTTCCGAGGCGATCCAACACGAGGTTGGCGCTGTCGACAATGTGTCGCCTCAGGTTGAAGATGTACGACCCCGCCGCTATGAGAGTGGGTTATGCGGTCAGTGATGTGTACAATCCCGCCTTATAGTGCGAACGATCATCATCGCCACTCATGCGCATGATCCACATGCACGCGCTCAACAAAACCCTCAAACAATCCGCAAGCCGCGTTAACCTCTCTGGTTTTAATTTGCCGCCGTCCGCCCATTGTCCGCACCAAAGCGCATCTGTCCAGCACTCCACCACACAAAGAATTGTCGCCTCCTGTTGCGTCGCCATGTCATCATTTTCAGGTCTGTCCACAATTTTCACCCCAACGAACCACTGAGGCATGTTCATCTTCATCTGCAGTGTGCAGTAAATGAGGGTTGGGGAAACCACTCTCGACCATTCCAACCCCTGCCAAACAGCTCGTGCGACGTTGGTATTGTAGTCAACGGTGATGTACGACTCTGCACAAGCGAAGTCATTCGACCTCGACGACGATTTGAAGATCCAACTGTGGATGGTGCGCATTTAATTTACCAGTTTCTCCACGATGCATGCTCTGCGCAAAGCCGGTTCACGCTGCGCCGGATCGTCGATCTTGAAGCGTGGCAAATCGTTCGGCGGCATGATGATCATGGACGGTGGTTCGGCTCCTGCGTCTCCGTTGGCGACAGCAACGAAGTAGTCGGCACAGTCGCCAATCGCCTCCCTCAACGGTTTTCTAGGGCCTTGACCCCAAAAAGCGTCGGAATCAACCCACAACCTCGACCTCTCCTCCAGATTAACCTGCAAGGGGTCGGTCGTCATCATCATCGCCTTCCCGTTGTCCATCTCTTTTACCACCTTTGCGGCGCTTATCATCGACCCTCCCCTCTCCCACACCTTCAAGCTTCCGTGACTCCGCTTGCAGAAGTGTGATGATCTCCCGCGGCTGTCCGACTGCCACCTGCATCCACTTTCTTTTGCGGGGGCGGTGTTATCGTCGCGCTTGAACCCCCCGCCTGTTGCGCGGGGAGTGCCTGACGTGGCTGGACTGCCCCGATCACTGCCTTGTCAAGTCGGCCGCCTCAAGCGATCGGGACGATCGGTGCGCGAACGCCGCTTGCTGTCGCGGCGTCGCCTCACCCACCCCCGCAACTTGCCTCTGCGCTTTGTGTGTCCTAGGCGACGCTCCGGCAACACCACCAACGACGGCTTGTCTGATAGCAGCCAGTTGATCCCTCGACACCCTGTCCCGCCCAAAACCCAATCGCTGGCCCCCCGGCGTCCCTTCCTCATCCACCACCACAGCTGCCTCTGATTGGAAGTCGTCATCGTTCTCCGAGCTCGCCTCATCAACGCGCAGCCTTTTCGATTTGGGCACGTGGCCTTGACCTTTCTGGCCTTCCCCCCCCTCGCCAGGACCGCTATTTCTTCCTTCCTTTCCTGTCGTGCCCCGCGGTGCCATGTGGATAGAGCTTCAGTCCCTCCTACCACGTGGCCGATGAAGGCGTGCTACGGTGCGACCTGGACGTGCACGAAGGGCACGTGAACGTCAACGTTCGACGGCCAGTGGAAAGGAAGGACGTGGACGGCGCGTATGACAGGGCACGGGCCACAAACGAGGTTCGAGGACGGCGACCAGAAAGGTCGACCACAAAGTGAGTGCGGACGACGTGGAGACGCAGAGCGTCGAACGAGATGCGGAGGCGTATGACAAGAGGGCAGTGCACACGAGGCAGCTGTGGAGTCGTGGCAATGGAAGGACCGCGGTACGGAATGGAGCCCACAGTGTCCTTTTGTACCATGCGCAGTCTCTCACCACACCACAGATGCGCCTGGCCGTACCTGAAGCCCGCCCCTTCATTGACCGTGTGCAGTCTGTGCAGACCATTTTTTCCCGCCCAATGGAGGTCATCCTTCCATTGGTCCGACATTGAATGTCGGCGTGCAAGAGGACCCCGCCGGAGCTCGAAAGGGCCTGCCACCCACCCCTGCACCGCCACCCCTGAAAACACCCAGCGCCCATATCCCCCCCCCGCCATGGGCTTCAGGTGCGGCAAGGCGCATCCATGGGCTTCAGCTACGACGAGGAGCTTCCTCGCGCCAAAAAAAAAAAAATACTACTAAAAAACCCCCGCCCCCCCCTGTGTTACTGCGCGTTCATTGAGCGCGCATTTCGCGTTCAGGGTACGAACGTGGTGAACGCGCGTTCACTGACGCGTTTGCGTAGGGGGTTGTGCGGGGTGGGGGGGGGCTTTGGGCAGTGTGGGGAGTGGCGGCGGTGCTTGGGGGGACTGTGGGCAGTGTGGGGAGCGGCGACGGTGCTTGGGGGGGGCGCTGTGGGCCAATGCCCCAGGCAAAACGAGCAAAAAAAATAAAAAAATAAAAAATGTTTGTGCGTAAAAGTGTGCG